TTTGCCAAGGTCGCTACTCCACTTAACCGATTGTTGAAAAAAGACATCAAGTATGTATAGACCGAGGATCAAGAAAATGCTTTCAATACTCTCAAAGAAAGACTTATCACAGCCCCCATCCTAGCTTATTCAGATTTTTCACAAGAATTTTTCCTTTTCATGAATGCATTGGGTGTCACTTTAGGAGCTATTCTTTCTCAAAAAGATCCTCAAGGGAAGGAGCAAGTGATTCATTATGCAAGCAGAACCATGACTCCAGAAAAGAAAACCTATTTGATGACTGAACAAGAGTGCCTAGCCATTGTTTGATCCATTTCTTATTTCTGTCAATATCTCCATGGGTCACGATTTATCATCATTATGAACCATTCAGCCCTCAAGTCTCTACTACACCATCAGCTACTGCGGAGACATCTTGCTCGTTAGATATTGGCCTTACAAGAGTATAAATTTTCGGTCAAACATCATCCGGGCCGTTACTATTTGAACACCAATAGTCTCTTCTGGCTTGTCGATTTGTTGGTCCCGAAATCCAAATCTTCTTGTTGACTTGCATATTATACTTGTCGTCAGTCTGATCATTGCATCTCTGAATATTGTTTTACATCCTCGTTCAAGTCTAATAAAAATCTTCATACTAATTTAACTCTAATCTCTCAATTTTGACTATTTGCATTTCTTTCTTACCTTATTTATTGTACACAATTACTACTTTTTACTTTAACAATTACTTTTATACATCTATTTACCACTATGGACTATAATCAATATCAAACATATTTTAAATATCTTAGTGACCTGAGCTTCTAACTTAATTTACAACCCTCACAACAAAAATCTTTACAACATCAAATCTGTTATTTTGTTATTGTCAACCAAACACTTTATAAAAAACATCGCCAATCACCTCACTGATTCTTAAGAGTCCTGTTGCCCCATGAAACTACTGCTATTCTTTTTAGTATGTATTTCGATCCCTATCAGGACACTTTAATACCCTATTGACCCTTCAACGAATCTCTGTTTGGTATTTTTAGCCACAAATAGGCGAAGACGTTAAACAATACATCAGGTCATATGACACCTATCAACATAGAAGAAGACTTCAAACTCGTAAGCCGCTATATTCCATCAAAATTGGTCAACCTTTTGACAGAATTGGAATAGATCTTGTTAGTCCCCTGCCTCTTACTAAAAGAAGAAATTGTTATATTACTATTGCTACAGAATATCTCACCAAATGGCCTAAGGCTCGTGCTATACCAGATGCATCTGCAATCTCAGTGGTTTCATTTTTTATAGAGAACATTATTTGTCAACACAGAAGTCCCTGTGAGCTTTTATCTGATCAGAGGAAGCATTTTGCCAATAAGCTCGTCGAAGCCATTTGTGCTCAATTTCAGGTTGATCACAAGTTCTCTTTCTTAAACAAACGGTTTGGTCGAACATTTTAATCGAACCCTTTGTGAAGTATTGGCCAAATATTCTATTCAATTCTCAGGAGAGTGGGACCAATATATTTCTTCTGCTTTATTTGCTTATTGTACTACCAAGTATTTCACCACCTGATATAAACCGTTCTATCTTCTATATGGTTGGGAGTCCTTACTGCCCTTTGAAGTTACCCCTACAAGTTCGAGATTGCTCTTGTTGGATGAACAAGCCTTGCAAGCCAATATCCTCTGAAGAATCAAGATCTTGTTAAGAAATCTTCCTCAAGCCCGTATTAAGGCTCAAGAAAAGACACTTAAAGCTCAAAAGCGCCAGAAGGAACAACATGATAGGCTCCATACTATCAAAAGTTATTATATCAGCGATAAGGTACTTTGTTATCAAACTTCTTTGGAAGGTACCCATAAAGGCAAGTTGGAACAAAAATAGGAAGAACCTTTTTATATTTATGACGTTCTTGGAAGTGGTAGTTATAAGCTTTAAACCTTTGAAGACCAAGTCCTAAAGCAGAATATCTATGGTAATCGTTTGAAGCGTTACTCAACTTATAACGGGGAAATGGCCGGATGATATCCTATCATTAATCTCGCAGGAGCTCGATGATCGAGGAGGAGATTGTTACTATTGTTATATGAAAAATTTTTTGCACCTTCGTCATATGACAATTATTCGCTATAACCTGTTAACTGTGTTACTTTATTTTTTTCTCTTTTCTTTTAATTTTAGTAGTATTTTTATAGATTA